TGATCTAGTTTAAAAGATAAAATGAGTTACAACAAAAGATAAGATAATATGTTCTACTTCTTAGTGAAACTCGCATTTTTCTCCAATACTTTATTTTGGAAAACAATTTTTCTATCAAATAACCATACTTATGCTTGTAATCTTCAAAGACCTTACTAAAATTTTCTGTATAAATTAGTTTAAGACCACATTGGCGAGCATAAGTCTTTAGAGTATCATTATTAATAATGTATTCTACACAATTATCGATCATGTCGTGCAAACAGAACGGGTATTTCTGTCTGTGTTGTACGAAGTTATCTTTTGAATCAAAATTTACTCAGTAAAAGTGATTTTCAAAGAGATAATCTGACGATTTCACTAATCTTTGGTGAATAACCTTGGAATCTAGAATAGTTGCTATAAATATTCCATTTGGTTTTAAACATTTGGAAATGTTGAAAAGCGAAGCAAATGCATAATGATATGCATATTGGCTAGAAACAGCATCAGAAGACTGAAACAAATCATTCCTGCGATTGAAACATGGCAATTCAAGAAATGCATTTGAAAAGCAATTAACGACATAAAACTCAGACTGAATGCTCAATTTCAATGCTTGGTACCTTCTTTCATATTCTTTAATGGATACATCCGAAATGTCTGCTCCAAGCAAATAAGAAATGTTAACAGCGGTTCGTTTTTTCAGTTCTCCATCTGCTCCACAGCATAGATCAATGACTCGGTCACCAGGTCTAATGTATTCATTTATGAGCACTGTCTTGATCCAACTATTGAAATATTGCTGTTTGAAAATTCTCGATTTTTTCTCTCAGTAGTGTTCTTGTCGTGTCGGCAAACACAGAGCATGTCTTTTTGAAGTAGGTCTTTTATGCTACTACGTGTCTTTTGGTAGTATTTATAAGCATAATTTGATTATCTATATGTATTTTGGTAGAAATCCTTCAGCTTTTAATCGACGATTTATCGTTTACGCGTATATATATTTATTAAATCGAGAAAAAATTTCATATCTTATTGCTTGAATATTAAAAATCAATAAAAATACTAGAAAAAAAATTTGCATGAATAATTTATTTACTCCATATCATGATATTATCCAATTTATAATGGATAGTTTCGAGTCTCTTTTTTACTGATGTTTTATAATAATATTGCAACTATTTCTATGAGTAAAAGAAATATTGTTAAATTGAATTTGATAGAATTCGATGTTTTCGGACAATTAAGATCCGATGTCCAATCGTCACTGCCAACACAATTTGTACAAATGAAGAGTCCCAGGGGATCGTATTTTTCTTTTATACTTTTCAGTTGATTATAAATAACATTCGAACCGAAAAATTTCTCTTGCCAATTCACTTCATTTGGATTGCCTTCATTAGCATAGCAGGTTGGGTGTGAATCAGCAGGCAATAAATCGTCTAACATTGCTGCTCGAAGTAAGACTTGTGTATCTAAGTAGTCTTGATCAGTTTTGGATGTTGTATCTAACCAACTTTGAATACAAATCATTTGAAGAAGAGCTGTACGCCACCCCGGATTAACACTGTTATTTTTGTTGGTTGTATTTGATACTTGACCACCAGCTACAAAACTTCCACGAAGATTCGATCCAGTTTTACTCTGTCCTTTCGCTTGAGTAAAGACTTCTGCGACTTTAGCCGGTTCCTTCCGAATTATACTTTCTGGAATAAGTCGTGAACTCACTAGAAAATTAGAGCCAGTCGGATTATATAGTTCCAATATAATGGCATAGTAATAAAATGATGGCAAAAAAAAACTATTGATATTGTTGAAATCTAAATCACTGTTGTTGGTCACAAATTGATTCAATGTAGCATTGAGTGTAGCCCAATCTCCATTAGGTACATGAAATAAAAATCTTAGTGTCAGATCGATTATATCGAAATAGCCAGACCATCCAGCATCAGCTGCTGTTGGTAAAATTTCGATGAAGCTTTCAATGAGTTTTGCATAACGAGCTGGATCTGATGCATTAACTGAACATGTTGCAGCAACAATAGACGGCGATGGAAAAGTCCGTAAAACAGCAGAAAGTACAACCGCATAAGTACCTCCACCCCCACCGCTTAATGCCCAGAATAAGTCACCATTTTGGCATGCATTTATTGTTTGACGTTGTCCATCTGCGGTTACAACATCGTATTCAAGTACTTGATCAACAGCCATACCTTTCCAATTTGATAGTGGACCGTGGCCACCGCCTTGAAGGTAACCCCCAACTGCACTCACCGTATCTGATGCTCCACCAATTGCTACCAAATTGAAGTTACTCAGCAATCGATAGACTTCACCCCATTGGGCACCTGCTTCTATACGAACAGCATTCGATATATTGGTGAGATCACAAGATGAGTATTGTTTAATCAGTGTTATGTTTTTCATATGATGAAGCCATAAAAGTAGGGATCCAGCTGCTGTCGATCGCCCTAAAAGATCATGTCCGGTACTTTTGATAACTAAGCGAAGGTTGTTCATCACAGCAAATCGAACAGTTGCTTGAACGTGTTCAGGCAATATTGCGTCAACAGCCAGCACCGGTACAGAACCTTGATTACATGTTGAGCTATTTACGAAAACTGAACATGAACTATTTTCCCAATTATGAAATTGCATTGCACCAATTTGATCACTGCGCCACGCCGCATTTGTCCATTGTGCTTTGGCTATGCTACAAGCCGTAGCATTATATGTTCTTTCATTACATACAGCAGCTGATGGCGCAGGTGCGACGAGACGACCATCAATAGATTCATTGAACATTTGCCAAACACTAGCATTGGGCCAACACGACGAATCACTCGCCAGACAACGGCAACGGAGTTCTCCAAAAGAGAAACGTTATTTGACTATTATAAATGAAATAATTTTATATGAGTAACATACCTGCTATTGTCAATTGTTGACTGAGAATTATCATCATGAAATACAGAACAACGTAGACAGAGCGCATATGCATATTTTGATAAACTCCTGTCAGTAGATGTGTTACTTTCATCTATATATATTAAAAATATATATGCATGAATTGCAAATTTTGGGTAAGATTGAAATTTTCGCTGAATTAGCTTAATCACTTTTCTTTTATTTCATCGATTTCAACAACTTTTTCAGGGCTCACTCTTTTTCGAATGTCCCACTGCTATATCGAATTTCAGCTCTTTAGTTCATACCATCAATTACCTTTTGAGTCTTCCTGTGAAAAAATTATATTATAAGGAAAGATGTGCAAAGAAAACGAAATTTTCTAAGCAACAAAAGAAAGAAAAGCTAGATAACGAACAGTCCATTTTGTAGAGCCTTCTTAGTGCACTTGAATGATACATCATTCGTATTTCTCCCCCTTTCTTTCCATGCCCATCTATCTAAATTATTGCATTGCAAACACTTGTTCATTTTCACGTAGACCAATCTATTTTTTTTATTATCTTTGTCTTTCTATAAGTTGAAAAAAAGCAATGATATTCAAACAAAAGAACGTTTTGTGAAAAACAACTTCATAAAGAGAACTCCTTCTGAATGGTTTTCCCCTGCAGTTTCACTTTAACTCAATTTGAACAATGATTTTTAGCAAATTTTATTGCAGTTAATTCTTTAATGGCTCATCTGTTTTCGCTCAAATTTTATCATAGATATACATCATAGAGTTGTATAGCGACGAGTCAAAAATTCATCCCTGTATCGCTTATCGTTCTCGAAAAATTTATACTATATAATGAAATGGAGATAGAAGGTATGCTTGTGAATGAATATAAGATCTACACAAACACTCGCACCCTACAAAAAACTAATCCGTACCGATTGTCGAAAGTAACCTTTTCTACTGACAGATTTCGAAGCTACTTGATTCTTGAAGATGTGCGTAAAGATATTTAATGTGGACACGGTCTTTTCTCACTCATACTCAAAATATTCTGATTACTAAAAGCTGTGTCTACGTCAACTTTCGATTGTAATATCTGTTGATGAATCTCTAACAAACAAATATATCTTTCAGCAATATTGTGCTCCGCACTAGAATTTGAATTGAAGCCACACAAGTATGAAAATGTCCCAGTCTTTCACATGTTTAGTACAGTATCGTCGGATAGTTAATATCGATCATCTAGACAATCTGGAAATTATTTACTATATGAACTTTATCGAAAATTTAAGCGTCAAAAGACGTTATCGATATCATATACAAAAAATACTATAGTCTGACATAATTTTTATTGATAATCAAGGAAGGAAAAGTTGAGATTTTAATTGCCAATCATTGCTTCGATTGGAATCAGCTCAGCCTTTCCTTATTCATAATTTCGATCAGTATGTGGTATCTAATGCATAAAAAATAGTCAAAGTTCTTAAAAAAAACGTTCAGATCGAAAGCAAACTTTGATGCATATAATAATGTTGTTTGAGTTTTTTTGAATTTTCGTTCGTCTTATTCAAAAACAATTCGATTTCTTTGTAAAATAAAATTAGCAAAAAACAAGCAAGAAAACTTTTTCTGACTACGAAATCTAAATATAGTGATCATCGAGTCTCGATCAAAAAAAAAGTCTGTGTCAATCGAGTCTAGTTTCAAAGATTCTTGGAGCCGATAAATTCTGGTTGTGAAACAAAACTACGTACTCCATCTTAAAAAAATTTTAATATTCCGTATCAATCTTCAGTGATGGTCTTCTTATGAAAAATAAAAAATAAAATAAAATCTGGTTTTAATTAGGAATGCGAATTGATCTTTATTGAATGTCATAAAAATAATCACTTTCTTAATATTTGTAAAATAAAGATAAAATAAATAATAAAGAAATATTTTTTTTCTATGATACGTTAATAGATAATAAAGAGTTTGTTTATGTTTACCCTTTATTATAACAAAAAAGAAAGTAATCCCCTAGTTTGAATCGACTATTTTATCAAGAATCGATTACAATCAAATGAAATATGTCTTTCAAATTTAAGATAAGATTTTTATAAGCTCAGTAAGAAGACAAGTGAGTTTATACCATTTTGCCAGCGCTTTGTTTATGATGTATTAACTCATAGAGTGAGAAAAACTATTCAGAAATTTGACAGACTACATTAAAAATTAAGAGCAATGTATTGTGTGATCATTGTGATTCAAATAGATTATTAATCAAATAATCTGATTAAAATCACAATTTTTCTTTTTTCTTAAAAAACATGAGTTGTATAGTTTTTTGTCACTAAGTTCTGTATCATTATTTATTATCTATTCCATTTGTGTATTAATGATATACGCTCTAACACACTCTAATCCACTCTTACTGTTGTTTAACTCGAAAAGAACATTAATCGATAAACTTTCAAATTCTCCAACCATAAGAATCCGCATCAAGCCGTTTTGTTTAAATACTCTTTTATAAAAGAATTGTATATTATTTATATGTGTCTACTTCAAAAGCCTGGGTTAGAATGACTTGCAATAGCCTGAAGTCGATCTATCACAATAATCATTGATTCTTTTATGAAAGAGTTTCTTAAAGAAAATGGCTTGATGTAAATGTCATGAATGAAGAATTCGAAGAATTTCAGATTGGTAATCTCTTAGAGTTGAACATTAGGTGGAGCGCGTTTGAGTTTATTTAACTAATATAAATTCCATTTCAAAATCTCCCGGAATCAGAAGAATTATTAAAAAGCTATCACAAACTTTCAATTGCTGCTGATACAAGAAATAAATTACGCTAAACTCATCCACCACTGCCGATTAATATATTGGTCTATACCTCTATACTTGAAACAATACACTTGCGTATACAGACTAAGAATAAAAGCGATATCATGAATAATTAGATTGTTGAATTACCATTACTAGTAATAAAGTAAAGTATTCATTATTGAAATTAATATTTGCTATTATTAACACTAGTGATATGTAATAATTTTACTAAAGTAATACAGTGAAAAGAAATAAGTCATAGTAATATATAGCATCCCTATAAATAATATTTAGACTCGCACTCTTTCGTCTTTTGTATATTGCAAAATAGAGTATATGACGCTGAATAAATTGTAAGGAAGAAAAGAAAATAAGTAGGATTTGTTTACTCTGTTTGAAAGATAAATGTACAAGCAACAAGATAATCACATGTTTTTTCTAAAGACAAAATTATTGTCCGAATTTTTGTTTATGGGGATAGGGGAAAAAAAGAAATATCTCGTCAAAAATTTATAGTCATACAAATTGGTAAAAAGAACAAAGACATTTTCGTATTAGAAAATGAATGATATTCTATATTTAAAAAAAAAACAATCGTCGACATACTTGTTTGTTATTTTCAATTGTTCTTTTTTTGGCTTTTTCATCATTCGCCCACGTAAATAAACACATTATTTTTTTTTTATACAAACAAAATCATTTTAAAACCTTATACGTTATTTTTTTACACAGCTTATTACTTTTGTACAACATTTTTAACATCAAATTCTCTTATGTCTAAAATGGTCAACTCTTTTTCCAAAAAACAAAATTGACAAAATATAATGTTATTCTAATGCATAAAATTTGTATATAACATCTTTTACACTACTATTTCGTTTTAGTTGCATAGAGATAAGATTTAGTCAGCATAATCTCTGTTAGAATTTCAACGAAATCAAATAATGCATTCAATTATACGGAGATAATAATGTTCAAAATTCCTCGTTTTCATCATAAATACGATAAACAAATTAAGTAAATAATATATTGTAAAGTTGATAAGATAGTTTTGTACAATACCATAGGATCATGTATACTAAATAGTAAACTAAACTATTTATAAAATAATAAAATAAATCATTTTCAACGACAAAATAAACACATTTTTTGTTATTCTCTAAATAAATGAGAATGTATAGATAATATTAAAATCAACAAAACGACATACATTTATTTTTTGATTATAGAAACAACACATTGTTAAACACCAATCACAAGAATAATCAATCGAATAAAGTTGTAAAAGAAAAAGATTATCCGATGATGCATCTTCCTTTATCCAATGAAGGACAAATATAATAAACATACTTAAGTTAATAACTATCATAAGATGAATCCTATCATGCATTTCTTATACTAACCAAGTAGACTTATGTATCACCAAATTTTTCAAGTATTATTTTCATATTATTTATAGTTTAATAAAGGATGAGGACGTGAGATCTTCTTACAGGTTGATCTAAAAGTCTTGATCGTTCTTCCTTATTACGAACCTAAGAATGCTCAAAATCGAATGTCTAATCCTTTGTAACTAGACTTGTATGATCCTAAAATTTTATGTCTCTAGTCCTTATTATAGATGAGATATATAGGTTCGTATGATAGACAAGATTTTTTTTTTACCATGTTCTATAAACAAATTAGTGAGAGGTTGACATGACAAAAAGGAAAGGAAAAGTAATAAAAAAAGACATCAAAATAAGGAAATATTAAGAGAGTTATAAACAATAGAATTATATCTTAAAATTAATTAAATATCTATAGCGTATTTATTAAATACGCTATAGATATCTAAGTGTGAAGGTGTGGATGATATATTTCATCACTAATATATTGATCATTCATAATCTTAAACTACAAATTTTGTTTCTTTTCGGATTATCGAAAATTAGCTATTGATTATATTATAACTAATATAATTAAATCATTTAGCAATGATCATGAAATGTATATACAATTCATTACAACCATTAGAAACAAAAAAAAAGAAACATTCGTATTACTCAATACTTAAGATTGCAACTATTAACAATAGGTTGACATTATTTAGTATATAATATTAATGATACTGAAAGAAAAAATTTTAACATAGGTTATGTACAATCTACAAAACGTTTTATTTTTTGTATTATTTATATTAACTGAGAAATCAATACATTGATATTCGCAAGTAATGTTTTTCTCTATGTGAAATGTTAATAGTGTCAATTTAATTGAAAAATATTCTTTTAAACAATCAAATTGATATTTTTATTATTGTAAAAACAAAACATATGAACATAATCCTATCGACTTTTTTTTTTGTGCATTAAAAAATGATTATCAAATTTTGCTAAACAACAATAGAAATAAAATAATACTAATCTTCAATAATTGATTTTTTTTTTGTTTAAATCATTACTATTCATTTCGTTATTTTTATCTTTCTTAAATTCAAATGAAATGAATCTGTATAAAACATAAAATAATATCTCAAATAAGATATAAAAACAAATCAAATATCAATTTTATTCTATTAAGATACATAGAACATTAATTTTCAAAATCACTTTGATACAAACTTATTTTTTTACAACAATAGGAAACAAAAAAAAAAACAATAACAACTACTTAGAATGAAAAGAAAAATCATTTCGTTATTAATTTTCTTGAGATATTGTTTCACGACATGCCAATGAAAATGTATTAATATGATCTTTAAAATTTGAGCGACTTGTTTGTTTACTAAATCAAATAAACAAAATTATATAATAGTAAATCCAGTAAAAAAAAGAAAGAAAACTTACGATGTTACTACTTTCAATAGAGTTTCACGATGATGACGTTTAGCAGATGATGTTGGAAAATTTGGATCATTTAAACATTGTTGAATCCAACATGTTGTCCAATCGATATAAGATTTTGAAAGAGTAAAAAGAGGTAATGATAAACTTTCAATAAGATGATGAGGACTTGCTCCACCAATACACTAAATTAAAATTTTTTAAGATTCAAGTAATAAAAAAAAATAATAAATTTATCTAACTTTTAAAAGAATTTGAACTATTTCAAGACCATTTTGTTGTAAAAGATTTGCTATTCGTTGATTTGATTTTGTATATTCAATAAAATTTGACTTTTCAATAAAATAAATAAATAAATAAATATTAAATTATTATCAACTTACAGTAAATGTTGATATACTTTTTAATGTTCCTGGTTCATGTAATTGAATACCATATTTTACTTAAAATACAAAAATAATTATAAAACAAATATTTTTTTTTTATTTTAACTACTTACTTAATTGAATAAATAGAATAAATGTTTCATCAGGACATTGATGTATTATATTTGGTAATTTTTTTAATTATCTAAACGAAAAAAAATGAATTTTTGTATGATAAAGATTACTTTACTTGACTAAAGAAATTAGCAATATCTTCTATCATATCAACATGATTTTTCAACCATTGTATATCTAAAAAATAATTTTGTATAATATATAAACAAAAATTATATGTATAAATAAACCTTCATTAAATAGACATCGAAATTTTTGAAGAACATTAAGAAAAAGATTTAAAATTGGTTTATCTATATCTTTTGAAAAGAGTAGAAGTATCTAAATTCATAAAAAATAAAATCTTCTTCTTCGTTTGTGAAGAAAAAAAAAAGATTAAACTTACATTTCGAACAAAATTTAAAAATTCTACATGTAATATATTTGGTCCCATATTTAATAAAAGTTGAATAAATATATTTAATACTAAACTACTTGATTCTCTTAATATTATTACTATTTGTGAAAGAATTTCACAAATTTTCTATAAAATACAAAATTAATAAAAAACAAAAAAAAAAAAATTTTTTTTTATACATACTTCTGTTACTTGAATATTATCAGAATATTTTTTAAGAATCATTTGAAGTATAGGATCAAGATCACGAAGAATACAACATAACTTCAATGACAAAGAAAAATAAAATAAAAAAATAGTTTTTTTTAACATAAGATTAGATTTTATATGCATTTAAGGGCACCTTTTCCCTCAAATTTTGATCTCAGGCTAGGAACGTTTGAATGACATGAAATTTTCAGCTCTGTACCATGATGTTTGACGGAGATATTGACCAAACAAGGATAAAAAAATTAGCTAATTTCGTCTCCAAAATTTCTCTGTGATCTTCAGTCTATACATTTAAAATTTTTTTTCTTTTGTTTGAAAGAGTATGTCGGAATGTAGTGTCTGTGAGAGCTCTTTTGTTTTTAAATGCTTACTTTTTAAGGGAAAAAAAGGAATCGAAAATTCAATGACTCAAAAAATGGCGCTCTAATTATATAAAGGTTTGTATATATAATAAAAGCAAAGCTTAATAATAAAAAAACTTGGCTCTCATAGGCACTGCAGTTTTATACGCTCTTTCGAGAAATCTTGGAGATGCGATCGAGAACCTATAAAATGAGAAAAATCGAAAAAGATTTTCGATTTTTTTTTGTCAAAAACAGCTGTTTTTCTAATAGGGATGAAAAAAAGGACGTGCTGAGTAAAAATTTTTGTCGTCTATGATAGATCTGATGACAGGCCATATTTTCCTGCGTTTATCTTAATTTCCTTGGTTTTGATGAAAAGTGACTTTTTTGAGGGGTAGGGGGGCTTAAATCATCGTAATTGTTCTTTAGAGATTTTTTTTATATATTTAAACTATCAAGAATAATTTCCTAAATCTCTGTATAGTTTATTTGAAATAATTTTCCATAGTGATTTATATAAAAAATGTTCTTGTTTAATTGTATAAGCAATTTTGAAATATTTTAATGAATACACCAGAACAACTTTGTTAACTATTTTATATCTTAGTAAGTTTACAAGTTATCTTTTTCTATTACTAAGGAAATCTTTTGATATCTATTATTCTCGATTGCTATGGAAACATATCTGAATAGCCGTTGGCACTCCCTTTGAATTCCACAATAATACAACAAGATTCTTACATTCTCGATTTTCAATAGGAGTATCAGTAATGTGATGTAAAGATAGAACCTTTCTGCTACCATATATTTTTCTTTTTCGTTAGTTTAAAATTCAAACAAATAGTTCTTTATTTGCAAAACTTGATCATATGGAAATTTTCATAACACTATTTATCTTATTGAGAGAATACATAGATGAATATTTATTCTGGTATACCAGTTAGTATTTGAATTAAAGCATTTTTTTAGAGCTACTCTTGTCTATGTGTGATATATAAAAATTTGAAAATAATATCTTACCACTTCAGATGTATTACTAGAATTTTCTGTTGTTTTCAATTGTTGTTCATTTTCTTCTCCATCATTTTGATTACCATAATAACCAATAGCAGTAATAAGTACACAAATAAAATTAAGTGTTGTACAAATATTTTCCTTTTTTGTAATAGGAATATTTAATATGAATTAATAAAGAAAATTTTGTTTTATTTTTACCTGATTGTTATCTATTCGAGATAAATAATCAAGTAATTTATTTACTTCAGGTACAAGTATAATATTTAAATGATCAATAACAATTTTTGATGGATGTACTGATAGAATATAACCAATAATTGATAAACAACGAATACGATCATTTGATTGAACATGAATATTGTCAAGAACACTCTTTTACAAATAAATTTTTTTGTTTTTTATTAATTAAAACTTCTCTTTGTTTTTCTTACTTTCATTATTGGAAAAATCTCATTAAGATATTTCGACATATATATTCGATTTTCTTTGATTAATTCTTTTAAAGCAATTGAAGCTGATTGAATTAATTCAGAATTTGATAATGCATTTATACATAAATGTACACAATTTTGTAATATATCTTGATGATTACCTAACCAACTACTATATCGTCCTTGATTTAAACAAAAATTAAAATAATAAATAAATAATTTAGTTTTTTTTCATATCAAATAATACATACCTAATACTATAAGTGTAGTATTAATAATTATACTATTTGAAAAATTTAATTTTGGTAAAAGTAAAAAAATACGAGGTAAAACTTGATCTTCATCAGATGGAATATATTCATATATAGCACCAATTAATTGAATTATTGATTCTTGAATTTGCCATGATTGATTTTGTTCAATAGATATTGATAAATAATTGACTAATACTACAATATATTTTATGTACATTAAGAAGAGTATTGTATTTCGTGTATAAATGTTTGATTTTTGTTTTTTTTTCATCCTCACTATCAGTGGCGTACGCAGGGGGAGCCGAGGGGGCCCGGGTCCCCCCTTGAGACGAAAAAGTCCTGGAGGGGGTACAGGAAAAAATATTTTGACGTGATAAAAAATTTTTTGTGCCATGGCCGCCCCCCCTACGAAGTTGGGTCCCCCCTTGAAAAATTTCTGCGTACGCCACTGCTCACTATGAATTCATGCTTCTTGAAATCTGATCATTTTTATGGATAATACAGCTTACTTTCGACTATATTTTGATGTAATTTAAGCCTAGGTGACTACAAAAAAAGATCTTGAACATTGTTCTATCAAATAGTGAAAATTTCACTTCGATAAATATAAACGAGCATAAGTTATTGAAAAAAATGATGATTGATATTTAAAAAAAAAAAAACTTCGATAATAGTATGGCATACTATTGATAATAATGGAGAATCATGATGAATTTCACTACTAGAGTAGAATTTCATTTGATCATAATCAATTGATGTTCTCTATTAACAGTTTTTTTTCCAAACTTCTTGTTTACAATATTTAATATAACACTCTTATAAACTCATTAAATTACTCTCAAATTTATTAATTAATATAGTTCAGTAATTATTTTATTTACAGTAAATCAATCCAATTGAGCTTACCTTCCAAAGCTCGATTACCCAAAATATTATACATACATATCTAAATTTAAAATAGAATAATCTTTGTTTTTCTAAATTTATTTATTATTTACCATTGTATCAATTATATCCGAACGATAACATCGAAATAATTCTTTATCTTCATAAGTAAATATATTCTCATTATCTGGTAATTTTCCTTTAGATATTAATACTTCAATTAAATGTTCAAAATAAGGACGAAAAAGTTCTAATAAAATCTCTTGATTTGGTTTTTCATTAATTGAATTAACTTCTTCCTAAAAACAGAATAAAGACCATAAACATATATATTTTTAAATACAATTCAATATGATACTTCTAATGCATTCCAAAAACTAAATGTTAATGCTGAACATGTTTCTTCAATAGGATATTGTCCTTTCATTTCAGTACATTTCTACATAAATAAAAAACAAAAATAATTATTTATTGAATGAAAAAAATTTTACCATAACAAGACGACAAAAATTATGTGAAAGTATTTGTGATTGTGAATCTGTTGTCATAGACATTTGAACAATCAATTGTATAAGATTTTCACCAAATTGTATTATTAATTTTGTAATACATTCTGCTTTTTCCTTTTTTTTTTTAAAAAAAAACTCAATTATAAAAAAAAACCCGAAGAATATTTGTTTGTTTTTTTTTTTTACTTTATTTCCTGTTGTTAAACATTGATCAATTATTGTTTCAAATTGTATAACATATGGTAAAAGACGAGAAAATGTCGATGGATATTTTAATGCATCAGGTGAAATAAATAGAACACTAAGACAATCACAAACATCATCAAATAGGTTTTCATTATTTAATGAATTAAATAAATATTCAAAAAATATTTCAATTTTAAGTATTGATATACCAAATTCAAGCCATTTTGATAAACAAGAAAATATTTTATTAAGAATATCTATTTGATTATAAGTAGAAATAATAAATTGTAAATAATTAAGAACTAAAATTAGTAAGAATGAAAAAAAAAAGAAAAATTTAATTTAATTTTTTCGATAATTACCATTTGGAAATTCTTTTTCAAGTTCAAGTCGAATAGAAGAACGCTGAGATTTAGATACATTAATACGTGAAAACTAAAAAAGAAATTTCATTAGGTATTCTGTTTAAAGTGTAGTCTATATATTAATTCTTATGAAAAATTATTTAAAAGAAATTCTCAATAGATCTGTTTATGTCTACAATAGAGATTATAGTCGTTTTCGAAACGCAATGGATGTAGCTTTTTTTTTTAATAACTTTCGATAGAAATTAGATGCAGTTTTCACCGTTTAAAAGAAGAGATAAAGCTACATCAAATTTAGAATACCAGACTTTTCTTAGAGTCTCCCATCTAGAGGTGTAAGCCGAAGGGTAAAACGGCGACGACTGTTTTAATGGTTCAATTCTTTTTCCATGGCGGCGGCGTGTACTAAACTCTATGATCTTCTACACTGGCGGCGGCGGCGGCTTTGACAACTAAAAAAAAAACCAAAAACAAAACACTTTTGCTCCTACAAGGCAGGAAAATGACCGATCGCTTATGTATCGATGTCAATGGCGGGATCCGGACAGTTGCACGCGGACACTTGCTCGCTAGGACAGTTGCTCGCTATAGGACCCTATGTAACTGTTATAGCGAGCAAGTGTCCACGCGCAACTGTCCTAAACCCGTCAATGGCGGCGGCCCATCATACTATTATCAAAAATTTTCGTTCGTGGTGGCGGCGCAACAGCTGAACTAACTTTTTCACAGCGGCGGCAGCGGCGCAGCTGGACGGCTTACATATCTACTCTCATCAAATATTTAATTGAATTTTTTTCTAATTTTTTTGACGATAATTTATAAAAAAAATCTTTGTAGAAACCTCCGAGAGAACTTGTCAGAAAAGTTTGGTATTCTAGGCTTGATGCAGTTTCATCTTTTCTTTTAAATATTGAAAATCACACATCTCTATCTAGTTCATATCAAAATTTATTCATACAACAGTTACACTCATCGCTTTTTGAAAACAAATATAGTCCCGAAAATTAACCAAAACACTTCCAGTTAGAGATATTCATCTAAAACAATTAACTTTTCATTTTTTTTTAATATAATAAAATGTTTATAAGTTAAAATAATCAATGAAACAAAACAAGACTAATTATAAAAAAAATTGCAATGTGAAGTTAATATAAATTGCTAGAGAATTTTAATTCATTTAAAATTAAAACAACATACTTCTTCTGGAAGTATAGTTAAGATATTTAATACAATTAAATGTGCTTTTTCTGGCTAAAATATAACAAAACAAAAAAAAGTATTATATCATGATAGAAAGAAAGAAAAAAAACAATTTAATTAACAAACATGTTGAATTAAAAATTCATTTTGTGATTGTGTAAATAGATTAATAATTGCTGTTATACCATTATTCCATTTATCTGGTATCATATGTAAAATTAAGTGATCTAACTAAATATAAACAAAATTGAATATGGAAATTTTTTTTTTTTCTTTATATTCTACTAACAGCAACAGTTAATTTTATTATAATCTGTTTTGAATGAATTGACATATAGAAAATTAATCGTTGAATAAGTTGTTGAAATAAGTGTTGAATTTGATTATCATCTAATTCTGATCTAAATATTTTTTTTAATCAATATAGAAAAAAAAAAAATTAAAACTTACAAATTTTTTGAAATTTTATTACAAATAGCAACAGCACCGAAGAATTGTACACTTGCAGATTTATTTATATCTAATAATTTCCATGAAAAATTCCATGCTAATGTTGAATATTGTAAATTTTCAAGAATAGTATTCAATTGTTGACGTTGTTCAATAGATAATTGACATGTTGGAGAATAAAAATTATCAATTATTCGTTCTAATTTTAAATGAAATATTATATTAAATAATAAAAATTTGTAAACTAACCTATATCTTCAGCTGAATAATTTGTTATTACATTAATATTATTCATAATTGACATGGAAAATATTGTTAGAACAATAGTTCTGTCAAAATGAGAAATTAAAATCAAATATTATTAATTATTTCTCTCTACCATATAATATTCTATTCTATTCGGAGACTATCGTCATATGTTCATAATCTTATGCAATCATAGATAGAGTGTATGATGTCACTAGTCCACAATGATATATACCTATTTAAAAAATAGATAATTGTCATTTCTCTTATGAATAATATTTAAGTAATCCACATCTCAGAACATAACGAATTCATATCGAACTAATAGAGTTTTATTTTTTATGAACATTAGATAAATTACTTCTGCTCTAGTGACCGCTGATATCAAAACAGCTAATTTCATACTACAATTACAGAGTGTTTTCGAACCACACAAGATTCTCGATAAATACTAGCATGTAGATTGATAATGATTTTAATCGTAATTATAGAATGTACGTAGTACATTAATTTAATACCAAAAAAAATAATATTAATGATGTAAATCGAAAAATATGCCATTTACACGAAAATAATAGTTTAACGACCATCCATAAAGAACATCCGACAAAAAAAAAGAGAGAAGTCATTCAAAACAGGATAGTTTCAGACAGAAAGAGGAATAGAGTTAGACACATTCCGGTGCTTATCATGATTCTTTTGTCGACTTTTTAAAATTGATTTGAGCAGCATCTCAAAAAGGACCACTTAAAGTTCTATGACATATTATGTACGCATAAATCATTATATCAGTCGTTTAATACAAACAAAAAAAACAATATATTAGAACAAATAGACCCGTTCTAAAAAAAGAAAATTTTGGAACTGAACATTCAAGAAGAGGTATTCGTTTAGCAGGTATTCCACTATGAATGTATAAATGCAGTGTAACTAATATTTTTTTGACCAGAAAACGTACATCATGAATTTTTCTAAATGATGTATCACAACACGAAGGTTAGAATGGATGATGACCAGAGGTGTAAATAGGCCACGCAGGCTGCTTAAAGTAGACAGGTCATCTGCCTGTGAGGTTTTTCGAAATTTTCAATAAAACACTCCATTTTTTGAGCAGAAAATATAGGTATCTAAATATAATATGGAGAATCTTTGCCTTGGAAGATGAGAAATGTTTTTTTTTTATCAGGTGACTCAGCACAATCATGACTATTTATAGATTGTGACTACAATGCTCATTGTTCATTTATTTATTTAATGTTTTTATCCGCTTCGGTAAGATACTGTTTTATTATTAAAAATTTTACATACAGCGTTAACAAAGTCTTATGTGTTTCTGCTTCATATTATACTGTCGTAATATGGTTGGACTTCATATGTTCTATTCAACTAGTTCATCATTTTTTACTCAAAAAACAGTTTTTTTCAAAATGTTAATATTTGCTTCTTTGTCTGTACCCAACAGTTACATATTGCCTTAAGCCAATAAATCTTTCGCTTAATTATGTTATTTTAATACCCATAACTTCCTTGTCTTCTTATAAAGACAGTTTTCTACTTTCATTCAATTATTATCCTAATATTAGTATATAGAAAAAAAACTATAGAGACCTCAATAAGCAGACCAGGCTGACGAAAACAAACGACAGACGCAGGCAAGTTGAAGAGGTTCATAGCTTATCATGAACAGGCCAGAACTATTGAAAAGTAAGCTTGTTTGGACCTCTGTTGACGATCAAAAAAATATTTGACCTTTTGAAATTTTCATAAAATCCGATAATCAATTTGGATTGGAGTCGAAAAGAAAACGTCGAATCTTAAAGACATGATGGTCAAACGATCTTTTCTAACTATTCACTCATTTGAAGAAGAACTTTGAGAGACTATATTAGCAATTAAACAATGAATTCCAGATAGATTATTAGAATGTATTCATAGGGATACATCGACTTCGACTGCAATGCTTTCATGGTTAACAATATGAAGACCTACTAAGGATCGGCCTCATTTGAGATTTATTCGAAGAAGGACTAGGACTTCACTCTGTTTGGGTGTCAAACAAAAGCTTAGAACCGAAGAAGATTGAGACAACTTTCAGCTAAAGGTTTGATTTCAAAAAAGTTTTTATTTAGAATAAATTGTGCTATAAACCAAACAAATGTGAAGTTTGAATGAAATGCTTCCTCCGAGAATCGAAGAGAAATTCGATCTCGAAAAAAAGTTTATGGATTGGCGAGTTCATAGACTTCTGTTGCCGTAATTTCTCGATTATAAACATAAATTTCATCAATAATTCCTTGAAAGGCAGCATTTGTAATATAAACACTTGAGCAAGCAAAATTGTATCCAATTTGTAACCAATTGATCACGCTAGAAGTTCCTGTATACGAATAATAACCAGTTGTGCCGAAATAAACTCCGTTAACATACAATCGATATCCATTAGTTAACGAGAATGTCCATGAGATATGTGTCCAAGTATTCAACGTTATAGGTGGTCCATAAATAGCTGGCCAAGCATAACCTTGTGCAACTAATTGAGCCGCATTGTTAGTGTATGACCAAATACCAAGCATATTGAAACATGGAGTAGTATTATAAAATGATGACATTTGAACAAATGCACAACTAGAATATGAGGATACACTTATCCACAGTGCAATTGAAAATGGTTTGTTAGAATAGACACCAAATCCGGCTTGATAAAATCCATATGCTTGAAAATAAGATGATGAACCAGTGAATTGCATTGCTTGATTAACACGTCCAGTAACTGTTGCTGCATTTGTTGATGAACCATTTAATCCGTTTGGACCATTATCATGAGTTGGATAAGGTAAATCAAATGAATAATAGGCAATTAGTGATGCAGCAGTTAAGATTTCTGCTGCGGATTTTGCTCGTGTCTCGATTTTAACATTATCTATATAACCATTAAAAAAAGTTGTTACTGGAAAGTAACTTGCAGAACCGATTGTAAATGTTCCATTTGTTCCTTGATAAGCAGATGAACTTGACTTGATATTATCTTGAACTCCATTTAAATACAAGATTTGTTGTTGTGTCACAGAATTATAAACAAAAGCAACGTGATACCAAGTACCAACTGTTATCGTTGTTAAACCATTGATATCATTCAATGTAAATCCAACATATAATTTACTCGATCGAATCAAAAAATGAAAACATTGATTGGAACATGATGTACATTGACATTGACCCATAAGACCATTGTCACCAGTCACAATTGTTGAATAAATCCAAGCTTCAACAGTAAAACTTGTGGAAGCAAGATTCAAGAATGGAGTTGAAACTTGAAATGATTGATTTTGTGATGCTGCTACACTTAACGCATGACCTTGTCCCAAATATGGAAGTGTAGTAGAACTTGAAGAATACGTTGCACCGTTCACCAACTGACCATTGTAAACACCGTATGTGTCTGTTGTTACAGAATCAAAACTCCACAATACATAATTAACAGTTGCATTTGTAGTCGATGTCGTTGAGTCTAAATTGATTATTGTTAATCAATTGATGACGATTCTGTAAACTTCATCTCATTCTCTATTTAGAAAATATTCACACTTGATCATATCACTCAGTACTTTGATCCTCTTAGGTAGTATCTCTAAGACACACATATCAACATCAAATGTCGAATTTTTTTTCTTCGATTTAATAAGATTTTGTCCATTTCTTTATTCAGCTTCATCGACTTCATGAAAAGTTCAAAAGTTTTTTTTTGGTTTTTATAAACAAACGATTCTATCGGATCGACATAACTGAGAAAGAAAATATTTAAGAGAGCTTATTTTGTAAGAACTTGTTAGCTCTGTTCTTTAATCTAGTTCGAACGCAGTTTGATTGATGAATTCGATTGCTCTTTTTGAAAGCGCCGAGTCGAACTTGTAAAACAAATTCCTCGAGCATCTTGTCGATATAAAACAAAACTCAGATTGGCTTATGTGTTACACAAGAGAATTTTTTTAATGTAAAACTGTTTCTGATCAAAGTTCTTTATTCAAAAATATATACATTCAAATGATTTGTTTTCCACAGTTTGTTAAACAACAAATAGAACAGTTCCATTCGATTCTAAGTAAATAATTTCACTATGAATCTTTCGAGATTTCATGAAAACGTGTTTCGTTACTCGAATTACCTTGACATCCAAAATTCTACTTTTCTCAAGTTCGTATTGTTATTCAATGAAAATGAACAATCAATCTTGAAATATGAAAAAGTAATTGTTCCTATAAAAAATCGATTTCACTACGTATGTTTCAGTTTTAATGTGTATTTCATTTTGCAAAGTTATTCGAATACAAATTCTATATAGATTCAGTGATCATTTAAATATGAAATTCTGGGAAATCTGTTTTCTGAAAGCAAAAGCACTAACAAGAGAACAAGCGAGTTTGTGTTCTTTTATGTAATGACAAAGCATTGAAATTTGAGATAAAGATTCCATATTAGGTCGCCGTTGACTGAGAAAAAACAACTGTATATATGCATTTCAAGTTGTCAAGACTAGGAGAGTAATCTCAGATGCTCGACAAGAAAATCTCAAAAAAAGTCAAATCAAAACCTATGGGAGATTCTTTGACTAGTCTGCATAACACAAGTTGCAAAAGCACTCAGGAATTTCTAGAGAGTAAAAATGAAAGTTATTACTTGATTGTCGGGTGAGCAAGATGGATACAATAATAGCCACGATAATCGCAACGCAAACAACAGCTGTTATTACACCAACGATCACTTTTTTTCGTGTTGACCATCTGCAATCGATAGGAAACAAAGAAATTAATATTTATAAGAGGGAACCATTGATTTACTTCGTTGTCGTTCCAATATGAACTAGACTATTTGATATCATTGATGTTTGCAGAGAGGTTGGTGATGAAGAAAGTCTCTAGAATAGTCACTTTTCATCTCGAAAAATACTTCCTTCTTTTTCTACTTACATTTTCAGAATCATAATGTTGAAGATTCGATCTAGGCACACGAAGTACTCGAGGAATTGGTTGTGGTAAGAATGGTTCACCTGTGCTTGTCGGCATTTTTACGTTTGATTCCACTTTCGAACAACGATCACGATGGTGACGAAGAATCAATTATGAACACACTACTAAGAAATCTTATATTCGAATATTAATTAATTTCAGTTACATGATTTCGAAAGAAAAACAAAGTATAAAGAATATTGCCGAAAACGCAAGATTTTCACAATATTTCTCAATCGCAACTAATTATCTCAAAGGTTCACGATTTGATATACTTTCGATTATTGAAACAAGTTCTCGATAGTCTACAGAAGAATTTCTGATTGGAGTTGTGAGTGTAGGTGTGTGTTTTGCTAGGCCCCATGCATGCCGAGACCCACACTCACACCCACACCCAACACTGCACACCGACACTTCACACCCGCAAAAACAGTTGTCATGGCTACCGCTCAACAAGCAATATTTGCTACGACATCCGCATTCTATATGTCGCATGCCTTATTCTGTCTTGTAGAGCCGAAATGCTATGTAGATTTCAAATATGTTTTGTCTGTACTATCCCCTATACCTCCTACGTTAGTACCCATCTCAGTTTTCGTATAAGCCCTTAAAAAAAGCCCAATATATCTGGTAATTCATTTAGACCTATTGTGGTCCCGTGATATTACTGATAGTCCCGAGAAATCGCTATTAACGTTCAACAGTCGCTGATAGTTTTTGGTTCTGTGTAATATTTTGTTCCTAGTAGTTCCTACTAATGAAAGGTTTGCCACTTTATCAAACCAAAGGCAACTTTAGAAAAAATGACGATTTTTTGAAAGTTTGACCGAAAGTAATCGGAGTCAAGATACCCAAATCGATGAACGGCTTTCAAAACTTTTAAAGTCGATTTCTTTATTAATAACAAACTTTTTTAAGAAAAAAGTAATTTTTAATAAAGGTTCACCAAAAGTTCCTGGGATGAAAGAATCCGAATCTGCAATCTGTTTCTCGCAGTTTTGAGTTTTACTTTTTTGTAACTGAATATTTTGTTTAGCACAAAAACGATTTTTTTTACTAAAATAATTTGTTTTCGCGCAAAGATAAAAACGTTTTAGTTGAGAAAATAAATAAAAATAAACACGTTTTTTCGAAGAAAAATCTTTTTTTTTCTTAAAAAAAAACCGTATTTCGTTACACAAAAGTCAAACTCATAACTGTCAAAACACCGATTGCAGATTTGGATTCCTTCACATCATGGATCTTTGTTGAAACTTTAGTAAAAATTGTCTTTTTCTTAAAAGAAAAGTTTTTTTTAGTAAAGAAATCGAACTCGAAAGTTTTGGAAACTGTTTATAGATTCAGATTCCTCGACTACAATCAACTCTAGTCAAATCTTATAACAAATCGTTATTTTTTAAATAAAAACCAAGATATTGAGCAAAGTTGAAAAAAAAATAGTACATGGAAATGTTGTTACCGATTCTCAATCATAATAAAAGCTATAGACTTCAAACTATGTGCTTATGAAGTAGTAAGTATGTGCAATAAACTTTCAAAGTTTCAAGGAGTTGGTTTTTATTAAATACGAAAATAATGAATTTTGAAATCGTTCCAGAATTTCTGGGACACTCTTTATACTTTGGTAAAAAGTAACAAAGATGATAAAAGCGTCAGACTAGGAGGTTCGTTTCACGATCTGCTGTGCATCGCTATTGTTAAATCAATAAGGAAATTTTTCGTTTCTACATAAAGGTTCGTACTGCACTTAACATTCAGCCGAAATCAATTCATGATGAATTGTATGCATTTTTCGACGATCAAGTTTCATCTGATAATACAGTTACTAAATAGTCAATGTGATTCGGCCATGGTAAGAAGAGATTGAAGACTAACGACAACTCAATCAACCTGTGACAGAGACACCATCTACAAATAATGAAGAAGTTCGCTGCTTCATTGATGATGACCCTCACTTTATGATTAATGAAATGCAGCTGCAGACTAATATAAGTCGCAGTGCCATTGAAAAAATGATCCGTCTATGGCAAACAACATAGTGATTCTATGATGTAACGACAAGTGACGAATCATGGTTTTATCATAAAGGAGTTGGTGGAAAATCCTCGAATGTTATCTTGACATTGGTTGGAGGCGCTTCATCTACTGTGATACGATGCAGTCACTTTGCTTCAAAAACCCTATATCGGATTTTTTTCAAAACGAGTAGTCTGCGTTAATTGATCGTGTTGGCCATATGAAAACCATCGCTTGCCACTACTACATCAATTATTGCTTAGAAACTCGTATAGAGAACATCCGAATGAATAGACCAATGTCGAGTACGTGTGCAGTAAAACTACATTACGAAAATGTAAAATCACATAAGCATTAAAGTATTTCAAACTATTTCTAATCGTTAGTTACCAAAATTATTCGACAATGACAGTATTCTCGAAATCTAGCAGCATATTTTTTTTGATTATTCGATCTGATCAAACAAAATTCAATTGAGCAAAGCAATTTAGAATCCTTACATCGTGCTCTAGCTAGGATCATGAACTTAGTCAACGAAAATGACAATAAAAAGAACTTTAGTTAACTGACTAGAACATATGCTGTTGTGTGTAAATAATCAAGGCGATTATTACTTTGTATATTTAATGAAATAAAATCTAGATTAACTTATTTCTCTATTTTCTTGTTGAAAATCTCGATACTTTTAGTATCCCCTAAGTACAGCAAATCAGATTTGATCCAAGCTCCTGTGCGGCTATGAATTTATTCGGCAATATTGAGATCGGTAAAGAACATCATCGACGAACGCAAATTTCGACAACCATGGACTAATTCTGAAGAATCATCCAGAATGTGTGATGGAAATGTTCACATCCACATTATCTGTATTGCCTTTTCTTCGAAAACTATTTCACGATTCAATTTCTGTCTGAAATCCAAAGTTTCACTCTTTCTAAGAAAGAATCGCATGAACTCGAAACAAGTGTGGCACTTTCTAAACTGTTTGGACAATGAATATATGAGAACTCAACGCAAAGAATATATTTTCGATAGTATGGTGAAACTTCATGTTCGAATTCTGTTTAATAGAGTTGTGTAAGAATCATTATTGAATGAAGTTACCCGATTCGTGCCTACCTGAGTTTATTGAAAAATATCACGAAGCTTAATCAAACAATCACACACTTCTATTAGTCTGTTTGTTTTCCTTCACTTTCGCTTACATGTTACCATTTACTAATGGAATGAAAGATGTAGAATGGCAAACAAAATCATTTTAAAGTAAGTATCGGCTGCGGCTGAAAGCCATTGTTTTTTCTTTTTTGACATTAATTAAAATGCAGTGCGTATTCATCTCTTTACACTTAACAGGGAACACGACTACAATCCCAGTCAGATGAGGATAGCTGTAGATGTAGGTCTGTAGAAGAACCACACCCACAAACACAACTACATAACACCAACATTGGTAGTTGTATCCACGATCATCCGAAGCAGTTACAATAATAAATAGAGCTTGTAAGTGGAAGTATACTTAAACCAAGTAAAAAATTCATCGACTTACCTGTGTATCGCATAAGATAATCTGCTGCTTCCAAACTCTTGCTTTCCACTAAATGATCAAGTCGAAAATTCAGTAGAATAATATATCAATGTGCTTTGATGAAAATTAATAAAAAAAATTCAGAGTCAATTTCTCCAACGCGTTTTGTTTGATTTATTAAGATATTAAAACACTTATCAAAGCTATGCATTAAAAATTATAAGCATGAACAAAAACAAAAAAACAAATTTTCAATAAAAACAAAAGAAAAAAAAATTGAAAGTGGGAGTGAGGGCGAAAGCGAAGCAGACTACAAAAAGGAGAAAAGAGCTATAAATCTTAAAAGGAGAACGAAGTGTAAGTTCATTATTAGTTGAATTGAATTATACATAAGGACCCTTACATCAGACTACAAAAAATATTTTAATATCAAAATCATAATAATCCCACACGAATTCGAATATTGGTTGAATTGCATCAAGTTATGTTGTTCCATCGCATTTTTTAAATATGTACGAAAAATGAACATGTGTGATTCACTTCATAAATATTATTTCATTGTAGCCGATTATAATTTCAGTTGACGTCACTTCATTGTACACTAGGAAGAATAAAAAGGTAATTATAGTTTAAAAAATAAAAAATAAAATCATGAAAAGTAAAACATCATTTTTGAGGTAGATATAAGATCAATCATATGCAAGATTAGACCGTAATGTTGAATCAGGTCGTATCTTAATAAATTCAGGACGATAATGGGTGTGCCAAAATATTTACAACATTCTGTATTTTGCATGTATATCAGCATGGATAAATGATAAAAACCTTGATTTGTTTTTCAAAAGGTGTGCCGTGAAAACCTTCACAAAAAATGCCAGAACAAATCTCTACGAACATGTTTTGATGACTTTTTCTTTAGTCAAAATGAAACACCTACATATTGGTGCTACTTCCCACCGTATTTATAATAATAAAAATGTTTCGAAGACCTCTTCTTGTCTTGCACTAGTAATTTGCTCATACAGCTTCGTAAAGCTTTTGATGGTGCATTTCTTGAAAAAAAAATCAAGACTTTATCGTTGTCTGAAGATGAGATGTGTGTGGGTGTAGGTGTGAATGAAGAGAGTGTCTACACCCACACACATTTATGTATGTATGACTAATGTGTCTATCTTGTCATTGTTGTTTCTTTGATGAGATACTAATGGTCACGGATGTACTAGTCATGCATACCTAGGTGTATGTTTGCCTACTGTTATCGACTTTTCCACTGTACTAGACAGTAGAGTACGGTGGGCATTCATGGTCGTGCGTGCAAAAAATCTTGCAACTGGTGCGCTTCAGCGAGTCAAGTGTTCAAGAAGCTAGTTTATTTTTTCGTTAAAAAAACAATTGAATTTTCTTTTCTACATTTTCGATGTTTCTTTTCGATTGTGCAATATCTGGATGATTTGATGGCAGTGATTTTTGTCGTATCTCAAGCCATTTTTACAGAAGCGAAAGTGCTTTCGAGTAT